TAGCCAAAGGCTATGGTTATAAGCTTGACCTTATGGTCCGAACCTGTGGTCCCAGATAGCTGAGTGATATAGGCTACGGGAGGTGCAAGTGCTGCCAAAACAAAGCTTGATAGAGTTCTCAGGTGCATGTAATCAAGTAGATTTGAAACTTTCGAGAACACTGTACTAGTGAACATCTTGACCATGCCCTTGCTTTGCCTCGTGGGATCTGACTACAAAATAAAGACTCAACTTACAGGCTGGGGGACTGTCTCTACATCCAAGAATAGTGTCCCACCTGACCCCAACTGTATTCTCTTGTCTGTCTTTAATCCTTCACCACCCCTCCTCAGTTTCACCCCTGGCCGTGCTGGACGAGGTTCAAAAATGACAATGAGGTACCATCTCACACCAGTCAGAATAGCTGTCATCAACAAATCAAGCAAAGAGAAGTGCTGGCGAGGATGTGGAGAAAAAGGAACCCTCTTGCACTGCTGGTGGGAATGTAGGCTGGTGCAACCACTGTGGAAAACAATATGGAGTTTCCTCAAAAAATTATAAATGGAGCTCCCATTTGACCCAGTAATCCACTTCTAGGAATATATCCCAAGAAATCAGAAATACCAATCAGAAAGGATATATGCACCCCTATTTTCATAGCAGCATAATTTACAATAGCTAAGATTTGGAAACAGCCTAAGTGCCCATCTGCAGAGTGCATTAAAAAAACTATGGCATATCTATACAATGGTATACTACGTTGCTGTACAAAAGAAGGAACTCTTAACATTTGCAACAGCATGGATGGACCTGGAGAGCATTATGCTAGGCAAAATAAGCCAGTCAGAGAAAAAGAAATATCACATGATCTCACTCATTTGTAGAATATAATGAATAACATAAACTGATGAACCAAAATGGGGGGGGGGATAGATTTTAGGATATAATAGAAGTAATCCTGTTATTTGCAGATTTCTAATATTTCCTAGAACTTTTGTGATGTTATACTATCTATGTTAGTACAGTTTTGGTAATATTATTATATTTAAAATCTTTTTTTCTTGGAATATTAAAAAATAAAATAAGGAAAAAAAAGAAAAGCACAGCCCTCGCCTGTTTGGCTTAGCTGTTAGAGCAGACTGAAGGGTCTCAGATTCAATTCCGGTCAAGGACATGTACTTCGGTTGCAGAATCGATCCCCAGCTCAGGTTGGGGAGTGTGTGGGAGGCAACCAATCAATGTATCTCTCTCACATCCATGTTTTCCTCTGTCTCTCCTCCTCTCTTCCAATCTCTTTAAAAATCAATGGAGCCCTAGCTGGTTTGGCTCAGTGGATAGAGCATCAGCCTGCGGACTGAAGGGTCCCAGGTTTCATTCCGGTCAAGGGCACATGCCTGGGTTACGAGCTTGATCCCCAGTAGGGGGCGTGCACGAGGCAGCCAATCAATGATTCTCATCATTGATGTTTCTATCTCTCTTTCCCTCTCCCTTCCTCTCTGAAATCAATAAAGATATATTATAAATAATATCAATGGACAAAAATCCTCAGGTGAGGATGAACCCCCCCACTCTAAAAAAAAAAAGGCACAAAAGGCTGTTTGCCTAAGGCCGTGGTCGGCAAACTGCGGCTTGAGAGCCACATGCGGCTCTTTGGCCCCTTGAGTGTGGTTCTTCCTAAGCCTTAGGAGTACCCTAATTAAGTTAATAACAATGTACCTACCTATATAGTTTAAGTTTAAAAAATTTGGCTCTCAAAAGAAATTTCAATCGTTGTACTGTTGATATTTGACTCCGTTGACTAATGAGTTTGCCGACCACTGGCTTAAGGTCACTCGGAGAGTATTTTTGCCATGATTATTTCCCGGGTCAAAGTGGATTGAATGAGAAACAACTGTTTCTTGAACCTGTGTTAGATGAACATTTGCATTTTATTAAATAATAGCAGCTAGCAGATGTACAGTTTATGAAGTTCTGAAACTCGCCCAGCTGGGAGGTATGGAGGGGACACCGTCTGAGTGTGGGCCGAGAGGCAGGTGATGGATTGCATGAGGTGCTGTACCTGAATCACCTCCTGCTTGGAGCAACGTTGTGCTAACATTTACACTTACCTTAAAGCTTAATAGCAAATATTTATTCACTTTTTTGTGTGTGTTTCTTCTTAAGCTATATATTTTCTGATGCAATTATTCTTACAAAGACTATAGGCAATGTATATGGAAGTTATGAATCTGAATAGTAAAGCAAATTCTTATGAAGAAAAACCACAAACTAGGCAAAAAAAGAATTACAAAACCAAGTCAACAAAGCACTTGGCTTATTCCAAGTTTTAAAAAGCCTAGCATTCTTGCCCTAACCAGTTTGGCTCAGTGGATAGAGCGTCGGCCTGGCCTGCGGACTGAAGGGTCCCAGGTTCGATTCTGGTCAAGGGCATGTACCTTGGTTGCAGGCACATCCCCAGTAGGGGGTGTGCAGGAGGCAGCTGATCGATGTTTCTAACTCTCTATCCCTCTCCCTATCCCTCTCCCTTCCTCTCTGTAAAGAATCAATAAAATATATTTTTAAAAATAATAATAAAAATCTAGCATTCTAAACAATGAAACAAGGCAGGTTTATTCAGCAAAACAACCCTGACATTTCATAGTAAAACTACCAGAAATTAAGGAAGGAAATGCTACCAGATGAATTGCTAACCTGCAACTTCCTACTCTACTATTTGTACCATCAGATATATCTTACTAACAGGAAGACTGAATAATAACATCAAGTTTTTTGGCAGAGAATGTGGAAGTTCAGAAGACTATATTCTAGAACTACCTCTACTACACTAAGAATCTGGACATTTCTCTTAGTCATATTCATATCTCAATGGTTCTAACTATAAACTCAACCTAAAGGTCAATAAAAATATGCTGTATGATAAAATAACTATAAAGTACATATAAAAGTAGAAACTACTGTGCTCATATTAAGAAACAATCATGTTACAATCAAATTTTCATGTTTATAAACGAGTCTGTAAACTTATGAATAAACAACAAAAGTTTTGAACTGAATTTCATATTAGAGTCACTAATTTTTAGAATGCATTCCAAATATAGCCTGTGTTAGAAGATGCCCTCCCCCTTTTCTGCAGGTTATCAAGAGTACACTTTCAGAACCTTAGACATACGAAATGAATCATAACTTTATAGATTCCATACCAAGAGGAAACCCCTTGGATTCCACCATGGACCCACTGGAGTGTGACATACAAAAGAGGGGACAATGCACCAAAAATAGAGTAAGCCACGATGGTGCTAGCAGATGGTACGTCTAAAAAGTGCTCACTAACAAATCAGCATGTTCCCTCTGACCTCAGAATTCAGAAACTGAAACTAAGTAAGTGGAAAAAAAAGGGGTGTGGGAGCGCACCAGAGGTCAAAGGCCTCTGGAAAGGGTGTCGGTCATTACGTTTTCCCCAGGGAAATGGCGAGGGACGATGCACAATGACGTTTTTAAAAGAAATTCCAAATTCAATTTGAAATGGAGGACGTCGCACAGCTGAGCTTCAAGCACAAGTTTCCTGACTCCTGTCCGGGCGCCCAGAATTCCCTCTCTGCCTAATGACTCATGCGCTCGCATGAACGAGGCTTAGTCCCAGAGCTCCTCCCAGGAAAAGAACAATGCTTAGGAGTACTTTTTGATCAGTTGTACTCCCTTTTCGCAGGGTGCTCAGGGGGGTGGGGGGCGCAGCGAGAGCCTGCGACTTCATGCAGCTACAGGAACAGGGACTGCGGCCGGCCGCAGGAGACACCAGCAAGGAGGCATCCGGCCGGACTGGACCGAATGGGCAGAGGACCCGACGCCAGGGCTCTCCGCAAGGCCGCGCGGCCTCCAGGTGGCAGCACTGGCTTCCTCGCCGGCTCCCGGAGGCCCGCGGGCGCTGCCCGGCGGGGCTGCCAGCCTCACGCCAACCACCGTCTCCTCAAAGTCCTCCACCGCCTCACAAAAACAGGTGTCGCCCCCGGAAGCCCGCTACCTGCGCCATCCCTTCAGCGGTTCTCAACCTGTGGGTCGCGACCCCTTTGGCGGTCAAACGGCCCTTTCACAGGGGTCGCCTAAGACCATCCTGCATATCAGATATTTCGATTAGGACTCATAACAGTAGCAACATTACAGTTACGAAGTAGCAACGAAAATAATTTTATGGTTGGGTCACAACATGAGGAACTGTATTTAAAGGGCCAGAAGGTTGAGAACCACTGCTACAGAAGTAGCAAGCGTTAGAAGCCTGGAGAGGAAGAAGGAAACCAAACGGGTCGGGGCACGCTCGGGAGAGGCCGCGGCGGAGCAGGGACGACAGTCTGGCGGCCGCGGACACGCAGGCTGGGCGTGAGGAGCGCGGAGGATGCGCCGCATGGGCGCGGAACGCTGCAACACTGGCGGGGCGGGCGGACCCGTTTCGGTAAGCAACATTCCGAGTCGAGGGCGCCCCGACCTCGCGCCGTCCGGAGAACTCGCGGCCCCAGGACCTGCGTCGCGCCGCGGGCTGGGCTAG